CAATACGTATGGGCAAAGCCTTAGGCATATGTTTCGGTGGGAAGGAAGAGGAGGTGAAGGAAAAATTAAAGGCTATGGAGATCAAGGATAAAGTTCATGTAGCTTCAAGGGCTGTACATACACAGTTGGGAGCTGATGCGCATAATTGATTGAATGTATCAAGTGGTTATAGGTGTTATGTAATGTGTCTCTATGATGCTCTTATCATGGAATGTAAGGGGTTTGGGTAAATCTGTAAAGAGGAGGGTCAAATTACTACTTAAGGATAGGAAAATTGATTTTGCTTTTTTCCAAGAGACAAGGAAAAGTGAGGTTACACCAGATTTTGTAAAATCATTATGGCCTGTGGATGAAATGGAATTCATGGCAGTCGACTCTAAAGGGAGAGCTGGTGGGCTTCTGTGCATTTGGAAACCAACTGTTTTCAAGTTATCCCAGTGTTGTAGTACAAGGCATTGCATTGTACTCTCAGGTACTCTTCTTCCATATTTTAACTGTGTTCTTGTCAATGTTCATGCTCCTAATGAAGTTAATGAGAGAAGTAGATTCTGGAATGTCCTGTATGGGTTGAGATCTAGCTTCTATAATCCCTGGTGTCTAGTTGGTGACTTCAATGAGATACGGAATCTTGGGGAAAGAAGGGGGTGTTCTAGAAGAGACAGAGGGATGAAAGAGTTTAATCTATTTATAGAAAATATTGAGCTTCTTGATTTACCCATGTTGGGAAGACAGTTCACTTGGTGCAATTCTAATGAAGGTGAAAGATGGAGTAGAATAGACAGAGCACTCATGTCAACGGAGTGGGTGGAAAAGTTGAATTTAAAGTTATGGGGTCTAGAGAGAAGTGTTTCAGATCATTGCCCCCTGCTACTGGTCGAGGATGGCAAGGATTGGGGTCCAAGGCCATTCCGGTTCATAAACGCTTGGACTTCACATCCGAAATTTGGAGAAGTTGTGAAAAAGTCCTGGGATGATTCTGCATTTACTAGTTGGGTAGGTTTTATTATTATGAATAAGCTGAAGGTTCTACGTTCAGTTTTGAAAAAATGGAATGTAGAGGTCTTTGGCAATGTTACTCATTCATTGAAAACAGCGGAGGAGGAACTCCATGCAATTGATCTAGTGGCTGAATCTAGAAGACTTATGCAGAATGAGGTTAAAAGAAGGAGAGAAGTTCGAAAGGAAGTATGGTCATTAAATAAGAGAGAAGAATGGTTATGGAGGCAGAAGTCTAGAGTTAATTGGAGTTTAAAAGGAGATAAGAATACAAGATTCTTTCATGTCATAGCTACAAGCAGGCAGAATAGAAATCTGCTGAATTCAATTGAAGTGGATGGGGAGATTCATGAGGATCCACAAAAGATCAAAGTTGAGGTAGCTAAACACTTTAAAAATAGATTCTGTGAAGAGTGGAAAGTTCGACCTAAGCTCCAAGGTGTTTTCAAGACCATTGGGCATGATAATGATTCTAATGGGCTGGTTATTCCTTTTTCAGAGGAGGAGATTTGGAGAGCTATTAGAGAGAGTGATGGAAATAAGGCACCAGGACCTGACGGTTTTAATTTGTTTTGCTTTCAAAAGTGTTGGAAAGTTTTTAAAAAGGATATCTTGCAATTCTTCAAGGAATTTTATGATAATGGATGCTTAGCAAAAGGTATTAATAGCTCTTTCATCACATTGTTACCTAAGACTGAGAATCCAGGTGGTGTTTCAGATTATAGACCAATTAGCCTTATTGGATCTCTGTACAAAATTTTGTCTAAGGTTCTAGCTTCTAGACTTAAGAAGGTATTGCCTAAAATAATTGGAGAATCTCAGTCCGTTTTCATTGTGGGGAGGAACATTTTAGATGGGATTTTAGTATCCAATGAAGTAATAGATTGGTGGAAGAGGAAAAAGAAGAAGGGGGTAATTTTGAAACTAGATTTTGAAAAAGCATACGACACGGTAAATTGGGAGTATCTTTTTAATATGATGTCAAGCTTTGGATTCCAGGATAAGTGGATTAGGTGGATGAAGGTGTGTATACAATCAGTTAGAGTTTCAGTTCTTGTCAATGGTTCCCCGACTAATGAATTTTGTCCAGAAAAAGGACTCAGGCAAGGGGATCCGTTGTCTCCCTTTCTTTTTAATATGGTGGCTGAGGGTTTGAATATATTATTCCAAAGAGCTAAAGCATTGGACTTAATCAAAGGTGCTGTGATTGGCCTAAGGGAGGTTAATGTCACCCATTTGCAATTTGCGGATGATACAATTGTGTTTTGTGAGGCCGAAGAGAACGACATTTTGAGCGTTAAGAGAATCTTGAGGTGTTTTGAAGTGCTCTCTGGATTGAAGATTAATTTTCATAAGAGTACAGTTTGCGGAGTAGGTGTACAGGAGGCAGAGGTAAATGTTTTCGCAGGAAGATTGAATTGTATGATCCAAAAGTTACCTTTCATGTATCTTGGTTTACCACTGGGGGCCAGCCCGAGGAAGAAAAGCACATGGTTGCCGGTAATCAATAAATTCAAGTCTAGGCTGGCGTCTTGGAAAAGGAAGCTACTATCATTTGGCGGTAGGTTAACATTGATCAAAGCAGTGCTATCATCTCTACCAGTGTACTACCTCTCTTTGTTTAAATTGCCTGCAAATGTATCAAAATTGCTGGACAAAATTCAGGCCAGGTTTCTGTGGGGAGGTTCAGAACTTAAAAAGAAGATCCATCTGGTAAAATGGGAGGAGGTTACCAAAACAAAGCACTTGGGAGGTTTGGGGATTAAGAAACTGAAGGAAGTCAATGATTGTTTACTAGCCAAATGGTGGTGGAGTTTATATGGAGTGAGGACCGTGTGTTGTGAAAGACATTTTAATTAGTAAATATGGCAGCTCTGGAGGTAGGTGGAGACAGATTCTGTAGCAGTGCCCAATGTTCAAGAGTTGGAGTGATATTCTCAGGTTGGAAAGCAAGCTTCTAACCTATTTTGCTTCTTTATGGATAATTCTGTCATTCAAGTAGGGAATGGTATGAGGGTTAGATTTTGGGAGGATAGTTGGGCTTCCTACAAATGTTTGAAGGATGATTTTCCTCGATTATTTGAGTTGTCAGTAGAAAAAGAGGTCACTCTTAAGCAGATGATGGATAAAAGAAATGGCTTATCTGAATGGAAGTTGAGTTTCAGAAGGAATCTGAGAGTTTGGGAGGAGGTTGAGATGGAAAGACTACAGTCCATTTTGTTTTCATATGACCCGTCTTTATCAGAAAAAGCTGATGCATTGGCTTGGAAGGCGTCATCTTCAGGTGTGTTTACAGTTAATTCAATGTATAATAGAAGATGTGTAGAGCAGTGCTTGGAGACATCAAGGTTGATTTGGAATAATATTTCTCCACCAAAAGTTCAGTTTTTTGGTTGGCTCGCTTGGAAGGGTCGAATCAAATCAAGAGCTTTCCTCCAAAGAGTGAGGTGTCTTAGTGATGAGGCTCAATTGAACTGTGTTTTTTGCAGCTGTGAGGTGGAATCAGGGTGTCATGTTCTGGTGCAGTGCCCCTTTGTTTGGAGGATCTGGACAAATTTGCTGAATTGGTGGGGTTTGATTTGGGTGATACCTGAAAAGCCCAAAGGGCTATTGGATTGGTGGAGAGGGTACAAATGGAGAAAGTTTGAATAGAAAATCTGGGAGGCAATTCCTTTGGCAGCACTGTGGTCTGTGTGGAGGCTTCGAAATGAGTGTAGCTTTAATAAAAAACAACCAATATTGGAGGAGGTTTGTGAGCTAATTAAAACTAGAGTTGCATTGTGGATTACTGCAACCTCTAGCGAGTTCCATTACTCAGTGCATGATGTGGTGGCCAATTTGGATCAGGTAAGGCATGCATTACATTGTGGCTGACTTGGTGGTATTGTTGGGGGTTTTATGGTCCACATTGGTGAGCAAATTGGGGTAAATAATATCAGCAGCAGGCAATGCTAGATGGGTTCGTTTTGGACTCATCTAACCTCTCCCAACTGCTGTGATCTGAGTTGCTGTGATCTCAACTGCTATGGCTGGCTGCAACTTCTTATCTGTGCTCTATCCTCTTCTAGCTGTGATCTGAGTTGCTGTGGTCTGAAAGGTGGATTCTCCAACCTCTCCCAACTGCTGCTATATGTGTTATGGGGGGTGGGGGTGCATCTACTGTTTATGCTACCCAATTTTGCATTAGGTATGGCCCAGTGGTTTGCTGCTGGTCTACTTGGTTCTCTGCTGGTCGTCCTGCTTCTCCATTTCCAGATCTGGTCTATGGGCTGCTGTTTGTGATTCTGCTGGTCTATGGGCTGCTGTTGTGTGATTCTGGTGGTCCCTGAGGTTCTCTGTGGTGTGGTTGTTTGTGGAGTGTTTTGTTGTTTTTTTGTTGTTTTTTTTTCCGCTCTGTTTGTTGGTTTCTCACCAACTTGGAGCCTTGAGTGTGTGCTAGCAGATGATTTGGTGTGCGTTTTGGTGCCAACCTAGTTGGGATCTAAATGTTTCACTGTGATGCTTTTTGCACCCTCTTCTTTTCTGATGTAAGGATCATCTTGTTATGTTTTTCCATCAATAAAGATTCTCTTTTGCCGATCAAATATATATATATATATATATATTGCAAATCTTAATGTGCTACAACCATGGGATAAATTCTTATGTGAGCATAAGCACAGGATCGTTATTCTTGATTTTGTCATTTTTTGTTAATTTTAGTCTGCTTTTTATTTCTTTTTCTCCATCTCTTTGTGAACATTAGCAGTGTTGGTTTTGATAAACAACAATCCGTCACACTTCTATGTGTAGATTATGGACAAAGGCATTATTTTTTCTTAGTTTTGTTTTAATCTTGTTTTGAAGTAGTTTTAACTTATTTGTATGAATAATTTTTCAAGTAGTCAATTTTCATTGATATTTAGTTATTTATATTTTACAATTATTAAGTTTTTTTCATAATGGACACCAATAATGAGTATTAGCCAGCCTATCTTACACACGACCATCTCACTAGTCTTATATAATGGGCAAAAGCTTAGAAATGATTTTTATTTATTCCACTGATACTAATGCATCACATGGTTACAACATAACTCATGGAAACATACAAAGTTTCCATGAAATGCTTAAGTTATTTCCATATTAATATCAGCATGTCCCTTCCAAATTATAGCTTCATACCCTGCAAAATCACAACAATAAAAAAATAATAAAAAAGGAAGAAAGAAAGAAAAGAGAGCAATAAGTGATGGTATTTTTGTCGACAACTAAATCATTTAAAAGCTTACCCAAAATATATAATTTAAAGAAATTGCTACCCATTCGGCCTAATAGTGGGAAATATATATATATATATATAAATTCAACCGAAAATATTTTTTTTGTCAATAGAAAATTAGTTTATTTAAATAGAAAATATTTTATAATTTTAAAAGGTCAAAAATGTTTTGTCAATTAAAATTTTACCAATATCACCATATTGCCACCACCATCACCACCACCACCACCACCGTTATTGTCACCACCGCATCCACTTACACCGCTACCACACTACCACCACCACTACTGTTGCTGTTGCCGCCACTAAGGTTGTTAAAATTGGAATCCTATGTTAGATCGTTGGAGGTGTTTATAAGATCGGATCGAGAATGTAAGATCTTACCAAAAAAGACAAATTACGTAATAATTTAATTTAAATAAATATTTGTTAAAAAATATACACAAAATAAACTTATATTTTATTTTTTATTTTTAAAAGTGAAGATATTGTGAAAAATATAATATTTAATGTAAAATGTAAATATAATATGTACAATAGAAAACTCGGTAGTAAAAGTTTTGTATTTTATCAAAAGAGAAGGTGTAGAAGAAGAATTCTATAACATAACACTTTGCAATCTACAATAATACATAAAAAGTGAATATATATATATATATATATATTTAACAAAGTTGCATATGAAAATAAATTGAGAATTCAAAAAAGCAACTTAACTGAATAATAAGGTTTATCGTTAGCATCTCTAGCGGAGCAGGTTGAGTCATAAAAATAGTTTCTCTAAAAATTGGAATAAAGTTACAATTATCTTATCTTCTTCGGATCCCACTAAAGATGACTTAGTTTTTTCGGCTATTTAGTTTTCTTAAATTGCTACAATATGCTAATGTTTGTTTCCTAATTTATTTTTCTTAGCCTAATTGATTCAGTACTATTTTTTTTTTATTCATTTGGACCACATAAATTGATATTTAGACAATAAATATAAAATTTACAATAAAATAGGTCATACAATACAAAACAAGACTTACAAATTGAATCAGATAAGAATGGATTCAGATCAGGATTCCATAAATCCAATAAGATCCAATTACCAGGATCTAAAGATCCTATTTGTAAGAGATTTTTTTGGCACGATTCAGATATATTGTGCCCAAATGGATTGAGAAATTCGAATTGAGATTCTGATAACCATGGCCACCGTTGCCGCCACCCCAACACCTCCACTACTACTATCACTAATGTAACTATTAGTTATTAATTTCAAAAACACTACTAAATATAAAAATATTTTTCACCGAAATAAATAGAGGAACAGTGAAAATTAAGATTATGTATAACATTCAGTGTGTTTAGTTTCAGTTTTCTAAATTCAGTTTTCTGAAAATTGAATTTTTTATTTTTCGTATTTTTTTTTGTTTTTAGTGAATATTTATTAAATTTTAAGTAATTTTTTTTTTACTTTTTTAGATGCACCTTACTTAGATGTATCTAAATAGTAAAATATTTGTAAAAAAATATTTTAAAAGTTAATAAATACACAAAAATACAAAAAAAAATGTATTGAATTTTTGTGTTTTTTTTTTTTTTGTATTTTTTGGTATTTAGTATATTTTTTAATGATTTTTTTCACAAATATTATATTTTTTAAGTGTATTTATGTTATGTTTGTGTAAAAATTAAAAAAAAATTACTTAAAATATTAAAAAAAATTCATTAAAAACATTAAAATACGAAAAATAAAAAAAAAGTAAAATTTTATGAAAACTATCTTTTGAAAATCATAACTAAACAAAGTAATTAGTATTTAAATCGTGAATGAGAGCCAGTCGGGCTTACTGGGTATATTCGATATTGACTTTGCCCGCATTGCGGTCAGCAATAATGGCGAAAGCATCTTGAGAGAGATCGATGGTTCCACGACATCCAGGTGGACAGTAATCGACAATGGTTACTACTACGCTCTTACCGGTGCAAGGATGTAGAACACCCTGATTTGTCCGACCCGTACATGTCACTTTGTAGTTTCTTCCACACGTCGCCTTCCCCCCAATGGCATCACTTGCTGCGGCTATCATCACTCCTTTGTCTTGGTTCCCATAGCATGCAGAAGCTGAAAAAAAATAAAAATAAAAATAAAAATAGAGAGCATATGTTGAAAAAGGTCACCTAACTGTATGTGTGTAAGTCCTCGTTTGGCAATAGGTTTTTTTAATTGATTTTTTTATTTTTTGGTTATTTTAGCTTGGGATTAAAAATTTATTTGATTTGATTTTTTTGACTTTTTTTAGAGAAAAAATGAAATAATTATGATTTGAATATAACATTTTGTCTTATTGACTTATTTAGCCTATTTTATCTTTTGTGTTTTTTTTTTTTGGATTGGGTAAGTGGCAGACATTTATTGCATAGGTAATCTTGATAGGACAACCTGAGGATCTGAATTTGGATTTAGCCAGGCACGGGAAGGGAAGCCATGACTACTGTCGTTTTTGTGCTCTGCTCGTAGAGGAAAATAGTATTTTTAGTGAGGAGTCTTGTAAGAGTTTCAATATTTCATCTTGATTTTCTTAATTTTAAACAATTAAGAAATCTCCATTGGCTAGCTTTTATTTAATAATCTCACATCGGAAAAAAAAAGAAAAAAAAATGAGTTGTTTTACTCATATAAACGGAATCTTATACTTCTATCTCATTTAATGAGGAGTCTTGTGAGAGTTTCAATATCTTATACTAATTTTCTTGATTTTCTATTGGCTAGCTTTTATTTGATAATCCTACATCAGGAAAAGAAGGGGAAAAAATGAGTTATTTTACTTATATAAAGTGAATCTTATACTCTCATCCTATTTAATATTGTAGTGTTGTGCATGTTTTAATTCAATATAGTTTAAATTTTAAAAGTTTTAATTAATTAATTATGTTAGGCAAAATTATTTTTGATTTAATTGATTTGTCGGTTTAACCATAATTTTAGCGGTTTTATCAAAATATATTGATTAGATTTGTTTGATTCGAAATAAACTAAAGGTTGATTTAATTAAAGATTGAAATACCGAGATTGCTTGATTAAAAATAAAATTTTCATCCAAATAATTGTTAAGTTTTATTTTATGATCTCACATTGAAAAGGAAAAAAAAAAAAAGTTGAGTTGTTTCACTTGTATAAAGTGAATCTTAATAGTGTAATATTGTGTATATTTCAATTCAAGACAATTTAAATTTTTAAATTAAAATAACATTTAAAAGTTTTAATTAATTAATTTTTGTATAAATTGATTGGTCATTTGACCTAATCGATTAGGCTGAAACATTTTGGGTTTGACCGATTTGCTAGTTTAATCACGATTTCTCATACTGATTTTATTAATTTCCATTTTGGGTTTGACCCATTTAATCATATAAAAATAAAACTCTAATTAATTTATGATTTATTTTATAATCCCACATCAGGAGAAGAAGAAAAAGCAAAATTTGTTTCACTATATATCTATATATTATATAAGAAAAATAGGGTTTTAGGGAGAAGCCTTCTACGAGCTCCAAACCCCTATTCTAAAATTATTGAATTTTTTTAATTTTAAACAATTAAGAAAATTCTCGTTGGCTAGCTTCCATTTACCTTTTATTTTACAATTTCACATCGGAAAAAGAACAAAAAAAAAAGTGAATTTTTTCATTTATGTAAAATAAATCTTATACTCCCATTTATATCAGCAAAATGAGATTTTTAGTGAGAAACCCTATGATCAATATCTCATTTCGATTTTCTTAATTTTAAACAATTAAGAAAATCACTATTGACTAACGTCCATTTAACTTTTATTTTACAATCTGACGTAGACTTTTTGATTTTAAAATATAATTTTCTATGAGATTTTCAAACTCTTATAATATTTAATTTTTAAAATAATTACAATCACACATCAAGAAAAGAAAGAAAAAGTGAATTGTTTCACTTATACAAAGTGTTACAATCCCACATCAGGAAAACAAGAAAAAGTGAGTTATTTCACTTATATAAAGTGAATCTTATAATAAAGAGAGTTTTAAGAGGGAAACCTTCTAGAAGCTCCAAACCCCCATTCTAAAATTATTAAATTTTCTTAATTTTAAACTATTAAGAAAATTCTCATTGGGTAGCTTCTATTTACCTTTTATTTTACAATCCCAAATCGGGAAAAAAAAGAAGAAAAAACTGAATTGTTTCGTTTACATAAAGTGAATCTTATGCTCTAATTTACATAAATTATTGAATTTTTTTTAATTTTCAACAATTAAGAAAATCCTCATTGGTTAGCTTTTATTTAACTTTTATTTTACAATTCTACATCAGGAAAAGAAGGAAAAATTGAATTATTTCATTTATATAAATTGAATTTTATACACCTATTTATATGAGTAAAAGAAGATTTTTAGTGAGAAGTCATATAATCAATACCATTTTTTTTTTATTTTCTTAATTTTAAATAATTAAGAAAATCTCCATTAGTTAGCTTCCATTTAACTTTTATTTTACAATTCCACATAAACGTTTTCATTTTAAAAATAATTTTGTATCAGATTTTGAAACTCTCATAATATTTAACTTTAAAATAATTACAATCTCACATCAAGAAAAAAAAAAGTGAGTTGTTTCACTTATATAAAGTGAATCTTATACTCTCATTCAATATTATAGTATTATGCATGTTTCAATTCAATATGGTTTAAATTTTAAAATAAAATTAAAAGGTTTTAATTAATTAATTCTGTTTTAAATTGGTTGGTCTTTTGACTTAGCCGATTAGGCTAAATTATTTTCGGTTTGACTGATTCACCGGTTTAACCATAGTTTTATCTATTTTATCAAAATATATTGCTTAAATTTTTTTGATTTGAAATAAACTAAGATTAACCTTATTAAAAATTGAATGACTGAGATTGCTCGATTAGAAGTGAATTTTTTGTCCAAACAACTGTTAACTTTTATTTTACAATTCCGCATCAAGAAAAGAAGGAAAAATAAGTTGTTTCGCTATATAAATTTTCAATTCAAGACATTTTAAATTTTAAAATTAAAATAAAATTTAAAAGTTTTAATTAATTAATTAATTATTGTATAAGTTGGTCGGTCCTTTGACCTAGCCGATAGGATGAACTGTTTTCAGTTTGACTAATTCGTTGGTTTAACTGCGATTTTAGCAATTTTATCAAAATATATTGGTTAAATTTGTTTGATTCGAAATAAATTAAAGATTGACCTAATTAAAGATTAAACGGCTAAGATTGTTTGATTTGAAATAAACTTTCCGCCCAAACAATTGTTAACTTTTAAACAATTAAGAAAATCTTTATTGGCTAGTTTTCATTTAACTTTTATTTTATAATCTCACATCGAGAAAAGAAGGAAAAAGTGAATTATTTCACTTACATAAAGTGAATTTTATGCTCCTATTTATATAAGCAAAATGAGATTTTTAGTAAGAAGTCTTATAATCAATATCTCATACTATTTTTTTTGATTTTCTTAATTTTAAACAATTAAGAAAATCAATTAAGAAAATCTTGATTGGCTAGCATTATTTTATAATCCCACATAGAGGTTTTGATTTTAAAAATAATTTTGTATGGGATTTTGAGACTCTCATAATATCTTTTCTTAAAAGTATTCTTTTATAAAATATATAAATATATCGACAATCTCAAAGTCACTCTTACTACTTCTTAATACAAAAATTATGAGATAATTATGATAATTTTCAATTTGTATTTAAAACTTATAAATTATGAGATAGATTATTATAATTTTAAATTTATATTGTGTCGATTTTAAATTTAAATTAATAGATTGTTTCCATATTTTGTGACAGTTTAAATTTTAATAAAATAAAATTTAAAAGATTTAATTAATTAATTTTTATGTAAGTTGGTTGATTTTTTGACCTAATTGATTAAGCTAAACCATTTTTTGTTTGAATGATTTGCCAGTTTGACTGTGATTTTAGCAGTTTTACATGTTACGATGACTCTTTCTTACCCATTAAATTTTTAAAATTTCTTTAATTATTTCCCTTTCAAAAAACAATATGATAAGTTTTTAAAATTCATATATTTTTATTCTAAAATAGTGAAGTATTAGAATTATGTCATTTTTTTTTATAACAAAGCATAATTTTAATTATTAATTGTTAATACATCAATTTTAATCTATCTATACTATATATTATAGTAAATGAACATTTGAAAGAAACCCCTTAAAATTATATAAAAAAATTTATTTACGTGAGACAAAATATAAAAAAATTAAATACAATTATCATATTTTTAATAAATAATATATTATTTTATCTCGTGCGTAAAACGAGTGACATACTAACATATTATATAAGGAAAAGAGACTTTTTTAATGAAAATTCTTCTAGGAGCTTCAAATCCTCATTCTAATTTTCTTGATTGTCTTAATTTTAAACAATTATAAAAATCTCCATTGACTAATTTTTATTTGATAATCTCACATCGAAAAAAGAAGGAAACAAATGAGTTGTTTACTCATATAAAGTAAATCTTATACTCTCATCTCATTTAGTGAGGAACCTTGTGAGAGTTTTAATATCTCATATTAATTTTTTTGATTTTCTTAACTTTCTTAATTTTAAACAATTAAGAAAATCTTCATTGGCTAACTTTTATTTGATAATCTCAAATCGAGAAAATAAGAAAAAAAATGAGTTGTTTTACTCATATAAAGTGAATCTTATACTTCCATCCCATTTAATATTGTAATGTTATGTATGTTTCAATTCAATATAATTTAAATTTTAAAATTTTTAATTAATTAATTATTACCTAGCTGATTAGGCTAAATCATTTTTGATTTGATTGATTCATTGGTTTAACTGCCATTTTAGCGATTTTATACTTTTATTTGATAATCCCACATCGAAAAAAGAAGGAAAAAAATGAGTTGTTTTACTCATGTAATGTAAATCTTATACTCCCATCCCATTTAGTGAGGAGCTTTATGAGAGTTTCAATATCTCATATTAATTTTCTTGATTTTCTTAATTTTAAACAATTAAGAAAATCTCCATTGATTATCTTTTTTTTGATAATCCTGCATCGAGAAAATAAGAAGAAAAAAAATGAGTTGTTTTGCTCATATAAAATGAATCTTATACTCCCATCTCATTTAATATTGTAATGTTATGAATGTTTCAATTCAATATAGTTTAAATTTTAAAAGTTTTAATTAATTAATTATGATATAGCCAATTAGGCTAAATCATTTTTGTTTTGTTGGTTTGTAACCGCAATTTTAGCGATTTTATCAAAATATACAGATTAAATTTAAAATAAACTAATTTATATAAGCAAAAGGATATTTTTAGTGAGAAGCCATATGATCAATATCTCATACTCATTTTTTTTATTTTCTTAATTTTAAACAATTAAGAAAATTCCCATTAGTTAGCTTCCATTTAATTTTTATTTTATAATCTCACATAAACGTTTTGATTTTAAAAATAGTTTTGTACGAGATTTTGAAACTCTCATAATATTTAATTTTAAAATAATTACAATCCTACATCTCGAAAAAAAAAAAAAAAGGAAGAAGAAGAAGAAGAAGAAGAAGAAGAAGAAGAAGAAGAAGAAGATATATTGGTAGTTCCTACATTTTGTTGCTCGTGATATTTTAGTCCTTACAATTTTAATTGGTTCAATTTTTACATTTAATTTTAGATTTTGTATAAGTATGGTTCAATTGATAATGCCGTTAGGGTTTTTGATAATAAAAAAAAATCACTGATTTAATTAAGGTTATATCACTGAATTGATAAAATTTATAATTGTATTCCTAAACTACGACACAAAATAAAAAGTTTAGATTCAAAATTAATTCAATTAAAATAATACAGACTAAAATGATATAAAAATTAAAATATAATGACTAAAAGCAGATGATAAGATTTTTCAAACAGATAATGTAGAATATGCATAAGTTTGTTGCTGCATACAAGTGGTGTATAAATTACTAGTCCGGCTTCTTTTCAGTCCGAGATTAGATTAAAATATATTGTTCGGTTCATAGGGACCCACCACGGGTCTTATTTCGATAATTTGAACTGTTCGACGTGTAGAACTTGCCAAGTATTTTATTCCTGCAAAAAATCACATTAATCGGATATTGATAGCTATTTGATCAAATCATATTTTTGTCAACGGTAAATATGATTTTTAAAATAAATTGTTGATAGAAATCTGACCTGATCAAATAGTTATCGATATCCGATCAATATAATTTTTTACAAAAATAAAGTACTCAATAAGTTCTACATATTAAAAGATTCGAATAATCAAAACAGGACTTGTGATGGCCCCTATAGGCCTGAATTGCACAGTGAGCACTTAGTAAAAATTTAATAATAAGAATCAAAATCTCGAATAACTTCAAGGAGTCAATAAATATTTATCGAGTCGTTAATTTCAAGATTTTGAAAATAATTGAGATGCCCTCAAACTAATTCAGGCATCTAATTAAAAAATAAAATAAAAATAACACTCACGCAAGTAAGGAGGACCATAGTAAGTAGCAGTTCCTTGAGCTGCATGTGCCACCGTGGCAAGGCATATCACCATGCCCACCATCATCATCACAACTCCCATTCCAACACCCATTTCTTGGATTTTCCTTCTTTCCAAACACACCTCAAAAGGAAAATTGAAATCTTATTGTTTTGTTGCAGAAAATCAATAGAAGGGCTCTTTCTTTTTATAGTTGAATAACCTGCATGCGAGCAAGCAATAATTTATTTACCATATTGTACTAGTCATGGGTAGAATCAGAAATTTTGCCTAGAAGTCAATGTGTGTGTATAAAATAAAATAAAATAAAAAGGATAAATTACAAATATAATTTTTGAGTTTGGTTAAAATATAAATTGCTCATTGTGATTTCTAAAATTATAAATATCTTTTTTGTCAGAGTTTGTTATTTAACAGAATATATCGACAAAAAAAAAAAAAGGCATTTCTAACTATTCTCCTATACAATGATGAATTACTAAAACTGTTAATTGAAAATATCATTAAAAACTATTAATTGACTTAATAGTTGATTAATGAAAGTGTTATTTGTTATGTGATTAGAAAATTTAAGGGATGGGATATAATTTTTAGAATCATATGAGCTAATTAGTATTTTAAGCAAATTTTATGAGTGTATTTATAATTTACGTTAAAAAAATATTGAGTCAGTTTTTGTACATCATTAATTAAAAATAAATCTTTACATAAACTTTGTGAAATATTATTTCATGAGAACAAAAATAAATAAATTTGACATGCCATTTTTTTATTTTATAAATTTTTTATTAATTAAATTTCAATACATAATTGATAAATTCTAAAAAATCACTTAATATATTTTTTAATGCAAAAAGTAAGTAAATCTAACAAATTATTTTTAAAAAAAAATTGAATTATTAATTAAATTTCAATATATAATCAATTAAACTGCAATTTTAACGAGTCATTTAATATGATCGTCCTTTCACAAATTCTTACTAAATTACATATTAAATTATCAATTATATAAGTTGCACATCCATATATGTTGGAGACCCAAACCTCATTGTTACTTAGTTTGTAATTTATTAGAAATATCTAGCATTTTTAATAATATATAAGTAGGATGTTATAAAAAATAAATAAATAAAAATAATGGAATTTATAAAGTTAAAAAATTATATGTAATGGAATTCTGATAAATGGAAGAATGTGAAACTTTTACATATCAATGCATGTCTTATTTAATGGGTTTAATGTTATTATTTTGAGCGCGTTACAAAATACACATTGACACTTTTATCAACTCATGAAAAAATATGTCAGTAAAAGTCAAAACTACCCTGACCATAAAGTTAGCCCAAATCATGAATGATGAATTAATGTTAGCAGGAAATTTTCAGCAATAAACCAAATTCCCTATTGAGCAGGCAAGTAGGAAAACAAATTGAATGAATGGCCCCCAAGAACTATTACTTAAAATAAATAATAAAAAAAAATAAAGCCTATTAAATTCATATATGGACATGTCGGATGCAATTACTAATATTTTTAAATTTTAAAAGTCTATGCAGAGTGTTTGGTGCATTTTTTATTATAATTTATTAGATTAAAATAATTTAAATAAGCTATAAAAAAAGATTATTTGAAAATTGAAGTAGTGTTTTTAACATTTATTTTCTATAAATCAGTTTTCAACTTGTAAAACTTGCACCAAACATCATCTTAAATGGTGTTTGATAAAACTGAAAATTGAAAGCTGACAATTAAATATTGAAAACTGAATGTTGAATTTTTTTAAATTAAAATATAGTTTGATAAAAAGTTAAGTACTAAATTAAAACAAGCATTCACCCAAAAAAAGAATTAAAACAAGTTGTTTGATATATATGTGACGTGATAAAATTTAAAATTATTATTTTTAAATTTTCTCGTTTTATTTTTATATTGTGGTGGTGAGGTAGTAGGGGTGGTTGTTACGACACCAAAGGCGATGGTAAAAAGGTGGTGTAGTTGATATAGACAGGTGATGGTAGTTGTGGTGGTACAATGTTGGTTGTGACTATAGACTGGTAGTTGTGGTGGGACAATGTTGGTTGTGACTATGGACTAGTGATGGTCATAAAGATAGAGGATTGTGCTAGTAATTTTAGTAGTGATAGTGGTACCATTAATGGCGGTGGTACTCGTGACAATGGTGACAATGATAATCATGTAGTGGTGGTAGTAGTAGAGGCGGTTGGTGGTAGCAATGACGGTGAGAGTGGGGTTAGGTGTAGCAGTGGTCAGGTTGGGGTATGGATGGTGGTGATTGCTCACAACGGTGGTGAGCATAGCAATACATGCCAATATTTGTACGTAAGTAGTAAATTAAGTTAGCATCAAGGGTCCATTTGTTTTTAGAGATAGAATAGAGGGGATTCATAGTGAGGGATTGTTAGTGAGAAGATTAAGTAAAATTGTGTTTGTTTGAATGATAGTTGTTGGTGTAGGGATTGTTAAATTATTTTTATGTGAAATAATAAAAAAATACAAAAACATTAAATATTAATGTTCAAAAAAAAATGCCCAACATGTAAAAAATAAAAATAAAATAAAACAAATAAAACTATGATTTTTACTTAACAAAAAAAAATTAATGTAAATAAAAAAAATGCCCAACATACATACAAAATAAATAAAAAAAATAGTTCGGCAGATTATTTTCTAATACCAAGTCTCAAGTGTCCGTCCTAATCCCCTCCCCAAGGCCCATCCTTATCTGGAGAGGATTATGAATTCCCTCTCCCTCTCCCTCTCCCAAAACAAACACAATATTAGTCGGTCACACCTCAATCATAATCCCAATCCTTCATCTATCTCCCAAAACAAACGGAAGTAAGCTCTCTAAGCTATTTTAAAAAATAATAACACATTTTCAGAATTTAATACGAATGTAGTTATAAAATGGGCTTATTTGATTTTTACTTAATGCATTAAATTTTAAAGAGTGGTACTACATGCACCAATTAGTGTACTAACTAGTGTTCCAACAATAGTTATGACATTATTATTGCGGTGGTGCTGCATACACCAATTAGTGTACTAACTAGTATATCAACACTAGTTATGATATTATTATTCACTCTACTCATTAATCACATTACAAATATCAAAAATCTCTCAAATTATGTTACATCATCAATTGATACACTAGTTAGTATATTAATTGGTATATATAACATTATTCTTATTATTGACCCCAGTCATTATACAAATTATAAATACCAAAAATATCTTAAATTATCCCACATCATCAATTAATATACTAGTTTATGTACTAATTGATGCATATAGTATTATTCAATTTTAAATGTTGAATTGGCTTATCAAACACCATCTCACTCTTGCCAAAAAGATAATAATAATCATTAAATTAAATTAAATTTTCAAAAATAATTACCTTCCACATTTTAAAAACAAATAATAAAATCATTTGCTAAAATTATGAACCATGTTTGGTTTGTTTTTCTAGAAAAAAAAAATCAATTTTTTTTTTTAAAAGATAGAAATTTTTTGATGAAAATAAATATTAAAAAAAATTTTAAAAATTTTAAAAATTATTTCTATCATCTCGAAAGATAAAATTTTATAAAATAATATTTTTTTTTTCACCAAATTATTATTTTTTATTTTATAAAAACAAATTTTAAAAATCAAATCAAAGATAATCGATATGAGTCTCATTAATTTTGTTAGGTATAACATAGCCGAAATAAAGGATAAACCGGGATGAATTATCCCAGTTAACTTTAATAATCGTGTTTCAAATTTTATATGCAACTGCTATTTATTTGATTTGGTCTTACTTTTTTTTTTTTAGATCGGTTATTTGGTTTTCTAAGCTTACGTAATCACTTAAAAAATAAAAACTAGCCTACTTTACAAAGATAAATTATCAATAGGTCTTAATAATTGAATTTAATTCTCATCAAATACTATTGAAAATAAGTGCTAATAAAATTGTCGTTAAAAATAATTTTTTGTAAAGATTTTTTACACGTCGCTAAAAATTAACAATTAATGACATTTTTTTTGTCACGATTTTTAATACTCTTACATACACACACTCTACTTCAACAAGGGTGAAGCTATCCCATTTATAAAAAAACAAAAGAAAAGATAAGATAAGATAAGATAAGGTAGAGGACATGTGGCGTATTCTGAGTAGATGGAGTTAGATATCCTTATCCTCTTGGTTGAGTGAGAATCACCTTTTTGACTCAGCATCCTTATCTTTATTGGCAGTTTGCAGATGATGGAGACGGAAAGAATCTCCTTTTTGGAAAAGCAAAATTATTTACTGTCCTCGTTTGTCGTTTTGTGTCGACACTGTTGGAAAGCATTGCTGGTAAGGGGCCTTCAGGCTTTGCCTTTTCTTTTTTTATCTTTTTCCTTGTCGAGTTTGGCAATTAGTGTAGTCAAAGAGTCCCAAAAATCAGCAAGATTAGTTCTTCTTCAACTGGATCTTGAGCTTCTCCCGCTAACACAGGAAACTCATTTCATCCTGACCTAGATCTTCCAGGTCTGAACCTTCGCTACTGGTAACAGACTTCATGGTAGTGTTTTCTCTGTTTAGAGATTGAAGGAATTATTCCTTCATATAATCCATACATTTTACAAGCAATTTTGTTTCTGATAAATCAGGATACTGATGACGGAGTTCTGCTTGAATTTGCAAAAATTGATTCTTAGATTTTGATGATGTTGGAATGGCTTTAGGGACAGCATCCTAGCAGGCCTTACTATGAGACTGGATACTCTGAAGTAATTCTGTTTGATTCGCATCCATGCCTTTATGCCACCATCTCACAAAAACGACATGTTTGAGACGTGGTATTTTATTATGGTAATCATATTGAAAATCCCATTTCCAAATCCAGGGTATACCAAATCGAATAATAAAATGAACCAAGGATTTGGTCATGGAAATATCCTTGTTTACTGGTAAACGAGAGTAGCAAATTTGCCATTCGTTAAAAGCTTGTCGGATAGGTTCTGATAAAACATCTAGCCGGATCCCAAATTTATCCTACCAAACGAGAAACTAATTAGGGAGATCATTGTTGAGGACATCGGGGACAATGAAGATGAACCAAGAATGATTTTGGATGGGATTCTAGTAATAAAAAACATAGGTAAAAGCATCAA